TATATATATATATATGTATAAATATACATATATATGTATATATGTGTGTATATATATATATACATATATATATATATATATATATAAATGGGTGCAAAAAAAACCCAAAATGTTGCTAAATATAAAGGTAAATATACATATACAGTGTAGAAGTGTGTTAGGGTAAATACAAATATAAACAGTATGGAAGTGACAAATGTAAACAGAAGTTATATAATAATAGTGCACAGAGTCTAGACATGAAATTACAAACCATGAGAATATGCTGGTAACAGGCTGCCCCTGGCGCTTGCTAAGCACGTGGTTCCAGGCGTGCTGACTGCTACACTATGGAACCAACTTTAAAAAGTGGACATTTCAGGTTAGCAGAGGATGGTTTCGATCCATCGACCTCTGGGTTATGGGCCCAGCACGCTTCCGCTGCGCCACTCTGCTGTGAGGAAGAAGTTGAAGAACATTAATCATGTTGTCAACTGCAAAGAAATACCTTCTTTTCTCAAGGAGGAGAAATGTCAAATAGCCGTGCTCCAAGAAACTTTCCGATCTAGAACATATGAAAGTGAGGAGGAGCTGGGTGGGACAGGTGTTTCACTCTTCATTTAACTCAAAAAGCAGGGGTGTTGCCATTCTTCTACATCGTAGTCTTCCTTTCACATTTGATGGAAGAACAGAAGGCCGCTACATACTTCTGTCTGGCTACTTATAAGTAGGGCTTCAAGATCATCATTATATGTCAGTTTTGTCCAGATCACTGGAGCTGAATATAATAAAAAATAAATAAATTTGTACTATATTGATATTTGGGATATTTGGGAATTTTGTTGTGTTAGCAGCAGATATGCTGGTAACAGTCTAAAAAAGTCTACTCAGGATAGCAGAGGATAGTTTCGATCCATCGACCTCTGGGCTATGGGCCCAGCACACTTCCTCTGCGCCTCTCTGCTGTGAAAAAGGAGTTGAAAGAAAATAAATGAGTGGCTTTTGCTTAGTGACTGCACGTTTTTAGTTTTTATTTTTCCCTCGTGAAGATTTCAGTTTGTTTTTCAATTGCCTATTACATGTTATGGGTCACATTAAAAGTGGAAAAAGTTAAGAAACGATTTATGCTTGTGTCTTTTCTTTACATCACAAAAACCTGGCTTTGAACAAGGGTGTGTAGACTTTTTATATCCACTGTATATATATATATATATATATATACTGTATATATACTGTATATATATATATATACATATATACATATGTTAGTATGTATATATATATATATACATACTAACATATGTATATATGTATATATATATATATATATATAATGCATATATATATATAAAAATGGGTGCAAAAAAAACCTTGCTAAATATGAACTAAAGGTAAATATACATATAAACAGTATGAAAGTGACAAATGTAAACAGAAGTTATATAATAATAGTGCACGGAGTCTAGACATGAAATCATTTATTTTCGACATGAAAACAACACAGTTTTATAGCTGCTGAGGCACTGACTTCTCTGGATTTATAATTGTAAGAACCGAAAACAGCATCTTATTTCACTATTCATCCAACAGCATCACCTGGTAATGGTTCATATCCCGTCAGCATTCCTCTTTCAATGACACTTACACCAACACAAACATATACGCAGGAACAAATTTGTCCTACAAAGAACGTTTCTTTTATAAAATTTAAATTTAATTTTGACCTTCAAACGCCCCCTTGAGGCGAGTTAGGGTACTGCCTGCCTCCCCTGCTGACTTTTCTCTGCACGTTTTTGTACCCGCAGGAGGGACAATTCTCTCGCCAATACAC